AAAAAAAAAAAAAAAAAAAAAAAAAAAAAAAAAGAGAGAAAGAAGGGGGGAAAGAAGGCGGAAAAGTGCCGTCGAGAATCCCAATGAACTACATGCCCCCCATTATGAGGATCCTCCTTGGTTCCTCTATCCCTTGGGATATATTATTCACTGGGGAAAAAAACCTGAGTTCATCCCTCTTGAGGATCCATATCCCTCATGTTACATAATGCCTCCAAAATGACCCCCTTCCCTGGGGAACCGTATCTTCATCGAACGTCACCCCAATCTTTCACCCTTTGAAAATCTGAAGGGGAACTACCACACTAAGAGCCTTGGACACCGTAAGCCTTTCCTTGACGTCTCCATACATAAAATAAGAAAAGGCTCCCCATTTCCCTCCTTTATTCCCCATTCAGCCGTGAATCAAAATGGACGGGTAATGGCCTGTCATATTTCAGACGGGTGGAAATTCGACTAGATATTTTAGGAAGGAATATAAAGACGTCAATATCCCGTAATATATCTCCAGGTGGCGTAGACCCAAGGTCCCGGCCCCCCCTTATTGCAAGAAGAATGGAAAAATCGATGGTTCTTCTCAAAATAAACATTTGCCCTTCTGTAGCCCTTGAAAGCCTATAGCTCCCTTTTTGCCATACTAGCAACTAGTTTCGAAAAGCAGGACTATTTTACCTACGCTTTAAGGACATGGCTCCCAAATTCGTATCAGGCTTTATTCGGTCGAATCAGTAATCAAAGAAAGACCTTTAAGAGCAATTGTTCCTTCTCATGATTTATTTATGAAGGCTCCGGAATGAGACTCTAAATACCTCGTATTGCGTGGGCACCGTCTACATCAAAGTGAGTATCCATGTCCTGGCATCGATCTTTCCTCTCCCTCCTTCATTATCCCGGGAAAAGCAGGTGAAATTGGGTCATACACATACTGACATCGTATTTATCACGCATGAGGTTGTAGCCTGGAGAATAATAGAAATCTCCAGTCTAAGCCGCTCAAGGGGCGAAGTTCATTCCCTACCGGAGATGGGGAATGAATCCGCATCTGAAATGAATTTTCTTCCGGCGAGAAGAAACCAGAGAAAGGAAAAGAAGAACCGCTTCCATTGTCTCACCTCTCACCGACTCGAGCCACTTATGGCCCAGGAGCACGAAAGGAAAGTTCTGGACAGAGGAACCTTATCGATTTGAGAACCCGAGAAGCAGAAGAAAATAAGGAAAAAGCCAGACTTCTCCAGTTACCTCCCCCCTCCAAAAAAAAAAGAGGGGGAGAAAAAAAAAACGAAAAAGGCCGCAATGAAAACCGGGATTCTCGGCGAAAAAAGGCAGATGACATTTATTTTCCTCATTCGAAAAATGATAAACGACTGGATACGGAAAAAAAAAAACATGAAGAATAAAAGGACTGAGACAGAGATAAGTTGGAGATGGATCATCGGCATGCATCGAAGAAAGGAACCACATTAGCATCGATCACCCTCCTTCCCTCAATCCCATTTCGGCCTTTCTTTTCTCCCTCCTTTTCGTAATATCGATTTCAGAGGTTTGGAAAGGAAGACGGCGAGCAGGGTCGATAATAAGATCAGAGAACCCTGAAATGACTAGGATGAAGGGAGAATGGGGCTCATCATCCGATTTCCCAGCGAGATCTGTTCCATATTAATGTGCCTTCAAGATGACACACGGAGGGAAGCCAGGCACCTGCACTGCCTAATATAGCACTTCCGCATCGGCTAGGCTTCATAAGAACTATTTTCCGATTCACACCACCTCCAAGCCATGCAGCAGAGCCATGTGTTTTCGCAGAATCCACACCAGCCTTACATAAACATTGTGGGGAGGAAAGAGAAGGGGGAGGGGGGGTCAGGCGGAATGACTCAATGAAAGAAGCAAGAGAGGACTGGTGGTCTTCACTGAAGTGTGAGAATATTGATGGAAGGCCCAGGGCTCCAGCATCGGAAACCAATATCCCAACCCCGGAGAAAAGGGGGGAAAAAAAAGGAGGAAGGAGAAGGAAGAGGAGGAGGAGGAAGAGGAAGAAGGGACCTCTCTCTTCCATATTAGGAAATTTCCCTTTCCTCTGGACACGGGCCAACAGGGGAGGAATATAAAGACACAATCTGAAAGATAGAAGACGCCTCAAGTCTGATGCATTTAGGAAGCTGGGATGCCTTTCTCATCATTCCGCGAACCGTCTTGGTTTTTTTTTTTTTTAATGGACTGGAAGAAAAGAAAAAGAAACAAGAAATGGGGTTCTGTCTGGGTCATTCATAAAAAAAATTTTTTGGCTCGAGGGACCTCTACTTCCACGTCAGATCGAAACAATGAGACGTCTTAAAAACTGAATTAAGTAACAGCTGCCGCACGATTTTGGCACCCTCGCATTTCCAACAGGACGATTTTTTTTTTACCCTCGCCTCCCGAACCATTTCCCGCTTCCAGTCGACAGCTCCAGGGAAGGGGGACTATTTCCTGCTCGAATGGTTGTGAAAAGAAAGGAGAACCCTTGAACCCGTCACCTTCCTTCCAAGAAGAAAGCGGGCCAGCTACGAAAATTGGGCAGTCTGAAAAGGGAGAGAGATCTCTGGGCGCGGGGCCTTCATTTATTCCCTCCCTTCCTTCATGGAGTCCCCTAGGGTATCGCAGCTCATGCATGTGAATCAAGCTCGTTCCTCCTTTCCCCCGCCTCTTTTGATATTCAATCGATACCCTACCGGGTGAATCGATATCAATAATTTCCCCCATTGATCTCAGAGGGGAGATCCCATTGTTATCGATAAGCACGCCAAGAACAGGGAACATTCCTTCTGGGGGGGGGGGGGAGAAAGAGACGAAGAAAAACAGCGAGAATGGTAGGGACATGGTGTGGAGCTTTATCAATAAACAGGCCCTCCCAGTGACACGACAGGGTGTACCCACACACGACAAATCGGTCTGCTTATGAGGGCGTACGACGACATTTGTACAATCGGACCTCCCACCAGGTCCAAAATGGACTTTTGTCCCTGAACCATTATAATGGACACGAATCGCACAGGCAGGTACGGGCAAACTTACATGATAATACTGTGGAAGTTTAACATCGTACCAGAATATGTGGGAAAGCACCTTGGTAAATGTGAATAAATCTGGAGAGAAATAGGCGAAGAAAACGATCAGAGCGCCTAAGATCCCGAACCCCATTGCTACAGGACTTCTCACGACTTCTTTATAACGCGATTTACAGTTAAGAGACTAATCGGAACCCGAGGCGAAAATCAGATACAAGGTAGTAGGTATCTTATCCTCTCAGGAGGAAAGAGGATTAGGAGGAATCAGAACGAGGCACAAATCTAAGGAGGAATCAGAAAGAGGGACAAATCTCGTTAGGAGCCCCAGAGAGCACATCCAAGGATAGCAGTCATCTTCGCCTCCCTACATCCTTCAATTAATGGGAACCAAGGTAGCAGACAAACGACTCCCCTTCCTCTCAATCTTCCTTCCTCCTTCATTATTTACGGTCTTCATATAGGCAGCAAGAAAGAGAAAGAGAGAGAGAGAACGGCGAGAGACAGGGGACCAAGACGGATAGGCGGCCGAAATGAAAGTTCTGTCAGTTGCGTCAGATGGACCTCGGTAAAGGAAACATGATGGATTTTGGCAGAGATATGAAATAGTTTCTATTTCCGATCCAAATTCTCAATCTGAGGAGGACTGAAGGGAAACATGGCGGGAAGGGGAAGAAGACGTAAAGGGGAGAAAAACAGGGCGAAGAGATAACCCATTTAGGTCAACGGAAGGGGGAAAAAGAGGGAACGGGGGCTGATGGAGGAAATGGGGGAAACCAGCCGCCTGAGATTAGGTGGAATTAGCTGACGAAGGGGAAGAAGAAGAAGCAAACGGGAAGATCTCTCATGTTCTGACCAGAGATGATGAAAAATGAACCGAAACGAGACAAGAAAGCCATCATGTGCAGACAGAAAGACATGTGAGAAAAGGAACCCTCCATTCTCAAATACATTACCCAGATTGGATCCAGAAGCCCCCGGCAGCCATCTATGGATGCTGGTAATGAAGTGTCTCAGACATTCGAACATCCCTGATATCGTCAGTCAAAAAAGATTTCCGTATCTACCTGTCACGGTGGAAGCCTGCGGCCAGAGCATGAAACGAACTAATTGCAGCCTGTCCTAATTAGCCACACCCAACTCATGTGTCCAATTATACTAATGAACACCTGGGGGGGGAGGGGAAGCAAGGCGTGATTCCTGGATTTCTGTGTGATAGAGGGGGCACGGCCCGTACATGAGGGGAGATCGACACTCTCTCGAGGGATGAGATGATGGCGATAGCCCTTAGCCAGGGAATCGATGGGGACTGAAGCATTCTCATCCGATAACATCAACTCCTCCATCACTCATTCATTCCCCTTTTACTTCACACTATACCCAGATTGCCTCTAGATATGGCAACGAAAATGCTGAACCGTAATTTCTTGGAGATTTCCATACGTTCAATTAGAAGCAAGTTCAGCAGAGCGAAACTTTAATCTACGACAACATAAAGGCACCGAGAGGGTTTTGTTTTTTTTTCTTTTTTTTTTTACATTTTCATGATCATGAGATGTCCTAAGAAGCAGGCCGATGAGAGGAAACTCCATCCATCATAGTGCTTCTCTCGTTCAGGACTGACTTAAAAGAAGCAAGCGGGGATGAGGCCGACATTGCATCGCGCGAGAAAAGGAGATGGAGGTTAGGAGAAAAAAAAATAGAAACTACGCGAAAAAAAAAATCCGCATGAAAACAGAATACAATATAGTGAGTGGAATAGAGTATTATGGGTTATGGCAGGAAAGAGGAGGAGAAACAGGAAGGAGAGGAGACTGAATCGATACAATGCCATCCTTACTTCAACAGAAAAAATATATAGGCTGCTCCAAGAGCTCCCGTTCCTCTTGGGACTATCTTTCGATTCCACAGTTCTTTTCTTTTTTTCCTGCCAATTTCAAAAGCTACTGGAATGCGTAGGAACCCACCTGTGGTATTAGATCGATGATTGGATTTGGCCAGGGCCGCGGCCCTCCCTCCTCCTCCACAACCACAGCCGATTGGGCAACACTGCCCACCCATCCCCTCCAGTGAATTCCCCAGCTTTCTATCATCCGATTTCTCCACGACAACACACTCACACAGACACAGTCACAGAGAAATAAGTTCAGGCCAATCTCATCGTCCACGAGTCTGAGACACGAAAGACGAGACAGGCAAGACAGAGAAAGGAAAGAAAGAAAGAAAGAATGGATAAAAGAGATGGGCCTCCTCAATCAACCGAGAAAGAGGGTCAGGTACGGAGAAAATGGGGCCTCTGATCGATAGATCCCCGCCTGGACCCCTAGACCCAGACAAAAAAGAAGCGGAGTTCCACCTTCTCGGTGGTAAATACAGCTACTTGAACACCAAACGCTCTCCTGTATTCTCAACGTACCATACAGCCACTGCAGTCGTGTGCGACGAAACAGAGCCAAGAATAATGACCCGACTTAATGGTTCCCGAGACCTATGGAGCGAATTTCCCCCACGAATTGCTGCGCACAGAGAAAGATAGAAGCAGCCAAAACAAGAAGAACCAGAAGGAGCGCCCCTCCAGGCCGCCCTGCCCGAAGAATACGCAGAAACAGGAGAGGGCCGCTCCAGGCGATCCCTGTTCGAGCACTAGTCTTCCCCCGTGTTTCAGCTCCTTTCCCGACCCGCCTCCCTTCTATTCCTTAGCACGCAATCGCCTTTACCTCCTAAAGCACTGCGCCTACTCCATCCTAAAACCGATACGGTTCTCCTTTCGCCTTCCCCCCATTACTTCCTACACGTGGAAAATGGAGTCAGAACTGACAGTGACAAAGCTCTCATACTTCGAGTCGAATGAGGAGAAGTAGAACTCGCTAGAATTGGCTCGGGGATGAGAAAAGGCACCGGGGATGAGAAAAGGCACCGTGGATGACCGCATTTATTCATTTTGCTGAGACCAGCAAACATACAGGGTGACTCAAGAGGTGTTGACTTTTTTGCTTCTTTTACGGGTACTCCAATTCATTTCAATCCGTTACAGTAACCAGCTCAACTTCGATTTCATAGCCAGGAAAGTCCTTTTACTGTGGAACAGACGGCTACGGTCGTTATTTTATTTCCAGAGACAAAGACAGCAACCGTTACGCAGAAACTCATCCATGTAGAATTCCGCACACGTTAAGGACATACAGGGAGAGCTCGGTGATTGGGGTCACAAGGAGGGATATCAGACTTTTCTGACAGGTTTGATAGAAGTCTCAGGACTTGTATTCCCTGAAGGCGATCAACGTGAGCTGATTTCCACACAGGAGCATTACTTTCAGTTTCCATGGGAAGAAAACAGACAAAGGCCATCTGTCCCACCATTAAAGGGCTTTTCCCAACCACGACTCTCAAATTCAGCTGGGTATGTATAAGACATAAATTGGATTACCCGGAAACGTAACATATGCGTCAACATCTCGTGGGTCACCCTGTGGATCGATCCAATGCACGGCAAACCAATCCCATCTCTTCAATAATTCTCTGGCACTCCAAGGCTGGTTTTCCGCCATCTCTTCATGCATTTTTCATAAGTCGCAAGTGGAAACATGATCCTCGCGCTTCAGGTCTGGCAATTGCTGTGCCTACCCTTTATTTTCAATTATGCCAGCACATATTTTTTTCAAGCATCACTTTCATCAAATCGTTTCCAAATGCAAACTCCGGTGGACACAGGAAAGAATAGCAACGACTTCGAGTCATTGCATCAAGAGACATTGACAAGAGATTGCATCATTATTATTCACACCTCCCAACGTGACAGAATAAATAAAACCAGCACAACACTTCTACCTAGCGATAACTCTCGCACAGATAATACTCCAGAGTCTAGACTGCCGTACAAAAGAACATGATAAAACTGGTGAAGTTACGCCCACTAAAAAAAATGACGATGTTCGGAATTGACACAAGGATTTCTCTTTCTCTAGAGTATATGCTCAACATCTCGTATAACTTTAAAAAGACTAAACATTTCTTCAAAGCAAAGTGAAACCGTAAATAGGAAAAAAACAACCCTGGATAGTGAAATAAAAATGCAATGAGACCAGCTACTCTTTTTGTTATTTAGATTTTTCAAACCTTGCCTGGAAAGCATAGGAACCTCGTTTATCGAAATTATTTAAGTACTTTTTGTTCTAGGTTTGTCACCACGCTCTGTTGCCAGAATATGCAGATCCATAACCACGTATTTTCCGGTATTCTCAAGTATGGAATCGTTACGTTACACTCTTAGAAAAAGGGGAGCGATTTTTCTCAAAAAAGAGAGTAAAATAGCTAACTCCAGTTTCACCCCCCTTTCACTCTGGGAAAGGAGCAAATTTACTCCATCACCAAGGAGTAAAATTGCTCTCCTCCTCCGTGAGTAACAACGCTCCCTTCAGAAAGTGATAGGGATGTCATGAAATATGAAATTCTCATGTATACTGTGTGTCGCTTTCGCTCTCGTACAGGCGTTGACCTACCTCTGACTGTACTGATTACAGCACACGTCAGAGAGTGGACCACCTCTTATAAATTCCGTGGAGTGTCCGGGATATCAGTCCCTTATAACCTCATTTAATTGAGGTGTGATTGAATGAAGTTCACAGACACTCTCTGTTTATTCTAGATCTTCTATGCGGATAAAATCATACGCGTTCCAAAAGGGTTCTCAATAGGAATATGAGCTTGTTTATGGCCTGGACTCTATGAATATGTCTTGAATATGTGGATAATAAATTATGAAGTGTCCGTGTTTATTGATTCCTATAATGAGACTAGGCGAGACAAATTTGGTGAGTAATAAGATAGTAAATTCGAAAAGCTCACGGTGTGCTCACTTTTTACTCCCCAAACGCTCGGAATTTTCTAAGAGTGTAGATGGGCTCAGGGACTGAGGTAGACAGGAAACGTACAATTTTCGGAGTTTTGCACGGAAACGTGAGAGTTCTGAAAGGTGAGGCCTGTATTGATGAGGGCCATTCTTATCTATGAAACAGGTAGCGATCGTGACCAAGATGACCTGGTTCTAGTGGGTGTGTTCAAGACGCAATGTAAAAGACTCAAAAGTGATTATGAAACAATAAGACTCCAGATGAAGCTTGACAGTTGCACGCACCTCGCGTGCACGCATGCCATAGGGCGCTATCGTGTCACAGTAAGAATAAGACTTGCATTCCTTCTAATCCCCACCATCTGCGTATTGATCGACCCCGTCACCAATACCATCGCCATCGCTGATACCAGTAAGCTTTCGTCTTAATATGTCTAATTTCTTTACAAGCAGACGGTCTCTGAAAGTAGCTCCAATGAAAGTAGCTCTCTCTCAGAAGTCATCAATCATATTATGAAAGCTCTTTTATCTCCAGACTTACTTCTTGAGAGACATGGGCTGTGTGCATTAGGATAACTCCATTAGAATTCCATCGTTTGAGATAGCTGTATAGGGGGAAAGAGCTTACACAAACTTCTAACTAAAACTAAGCTTATTTTATCGAGTCTAACAGATCCCCGATCTGACAGTCATCTAGTTATGATGCACGAGGCCCAAGCGTTCATCAGGAAAAAGCTATTATTTGAAGTGACTCGCTTTTCCGACATATTTCCCATGAAAGCCAACTTTCGAAACATACCTTCGGTATAGTAGAAAGACGGGACGGCATTCTCGCAGGAAATCGTAGCGACCATGGCCGGAGGTGGGGGAGGGTGGGGATGGGGGTGAGACTCGGAAGGCCTCCCTCCCCCTTGACCGGGGGGAGGGGGAGGGAGGCTATCGCCTAAAAAATGATCCCCTCGTTTCTTGACTCGAAACCGCTGCTGGGCCTCATCCCAGTAATAGCCGTCCACGTAGGTCTCCCCACGTCGAGCCCGTTCCAACGTGGGAGAGAATTCCGAAAGGCGGTCGTACTGCCCATCGTCCCCAACACTAGCTGGATCATCCTTCGGCATCCGATAGTCCGTGTACTCCTTCCGGCGACGGATCAGCTTTTGTCTCAGTTCGTCTGGGATGTCATTGACGTACTGGACGTCCCGACGCACGTGACGACCTCCGTCGATGCTGCGTCGTTTGCGGCTTCGATGAGATTCCTCAGAAGGGGAATACCTTCCATCGATGGGAGACCTCTCGGGTCTATCTTCGTCCAGGGCTTCTAGGGACCGCGTGTGACGAAGACTTTCCCGTCGTAAGTTTTCACTCCAAACCTGGTCTTTTTCCCATGGATCTTCAAGGTCTGGAGGCATCGAGACAGGGGTGATTCCTGTAGCACCATTCGTTTCTTCCAAGAGTCTTTCGACAGACCTTGACCTTCGGGTCATACTTGCGCATTCTTGGTCCTTGGCCATCAAGCAGAGACTGGGATCTGGGGTCAAAGAACGAGTTTTGCGGAACTTCTGGTTCAACATCTGTGAGGAAGACTCGTACATGTTGCGTTCGTCCACTTCTCCACACTTGGCCACTCCAAAATACTCCACAGCAGTTCGCTTTAGATCTGTTGCCGAGTCCTTGGAGTCTCGGAGATGGTTTACCCGTTTCCCCACGTCGTTCCTCTTTCCACCTACATCAAAGTCTCTGTGGTTGTTGAGTTGGTTCCTTGCCCTCAACGAGAGACTTTTCAAGATCTTCTCTTGGGCCGACGGAGAGAGCATCTCTATCTGCTCTGGACTCAGTAGGTCAGCATAGTAATACGGAGCACCACTCTTGCCAGCACTGGAATCACTGGCATTGGAATTCCCTCTTTGGTGGTTGGATTCATGGATAGAACCAGCACTGCTGGAATCTGAGCCCTTCTGCTGGAAATTATGATTTGAGGACTCCCTGACGGCTTGTTCCACGACATCCGGAGCCACATGTCGAGAGGCCCCTTGTCTGGGCGAGTGGGTGTCGGAGTCGGTCTTGAATTTAGCATATCGATTCTCGTCCTGATACACACGGTAGTATGAATAATTGAGTTCTTTTTCCAATGGACTTGTCGGTGGGGAATCCTGATTCTCTGGGGAATGATGGGATGCCCCGAGGGTATTCAAGACAGTCTGCCTTTCAGACTCCTCCAGACTTTTTCGCTTAGCCACATCCATTCGGGCATCTGAAAGGGTTTTTCTTAGCTTTCCTGGAGGATCAGGTACATTGATCTTGCTGCACCCGTCATTTTCCAGTTCTTCCATCGGAGGAGGACTGTTTGGAATAGGTGGAGGGCTCACCAAGTCGGAATCAGATGAATCTTTGTCCGAAAGGTTCTCAGCGCTTCGGCCCAGGTAGTATGATGCAGGTCGAAACGTATCTGAAAGACTGAACCTCTTGGTCTTAGATTTCGCTGGTCCCAGACTGTCAAGATCTTTGGATGCTTCATCATCAGCATCAGATGCAGAGCTGTTGGACTCTGGATTTGCAGATGAGAGGATGTCCGGTGGAACATTTTTCGGAGACTTCTTCTTTTGAGATTCACTGCTGCATCGCTCATCAGAATGCTTCAGGGTGTGCTGAGGGGCTAATTTTGAGGGGGAAGGGATCTCATTATAAATGGGTTCATAATTTCCTGAATAACTCTTGTACAATAACTCATAGTGAGCAGAGGGAGATAAATGAGAAGGGCGAATCATCCCTGACTTCTCCACAGTTGAAGATTCGAATACAGACTTGGATGAGATAATGTCCTCTGTCATGTCCACATACGTATTCTCTTCGTATTCTGTTTTCTGAAAGAGGGACTCCATAACAATGGTCTGCGAGGGAGTGCGTGAATGCTGGCCCTGAGCACTTTCCACTGAGGACGTGGAGATCGTGTGAGCAAGAACCGGTTTCCTAGGAGGAGTCATGGGGAGGTAGGTGTCTTCACCTACCAAATCATCGGGAAAATCCCGACAAGCTTTAGGATCGTGTGGATGGCCATGTTTTAATCTCGAGAATACTTCGTGATCTCGATTGGGAGTGTTGGTTGGATTCCCGTCAAATCCCTGGAATGGTGGTGTCACTTTATGATCACCATCCTCAGAGTCACTGTCTTTGAGGATGGACTGTTCCATCGATTCCACCATACTCAATCGGAGATAGCCCGGCGTCATGATAACTTCCACGTTACGCCCTCTGGAATCTGATTTTTCTTCCACCAAGTCTTCCTTTGAACTACTCAACTTGGGCTTGGGGGGGATTGCCGGTTTTTGCTTTTTCTCTCGGTAATCTCTTTCCTTCTTACGGTCAGCACTCCGTCGTAGATCTGCCAAGACAGACCCACTACCAGAGGAAAAAGGTTCAGATTTCGTGGTAAATCGGTCTTCGCTCTGGGCATCTCGGTCACATTCCAGCATCTCGGTGTCACTTACAGCACCACTGGTGTGATCAGAAAATGCAAAGGACCTAACGTCTTGAGCGCTGCGACGTCCATCCAAGATGTCTTGCGTGCTACGAGAGAATGCACTCGATTGCTTTTTGTAAGCTACTTTTTCAGTAATTTCATCCCTTTGCAAGAGTTCGAGAGATCGACGAACGTCTGCATTGTTGATTGCACTTGATTTCTTCTTGGAAGAAGGCAGGTCTTCAGAATATGATGGCTTCTTGGTGATTTGTGGAAGTTCAGGTTCGCTCTTTGATAGACTCCTGGAAACAGTTGCTTTCAGCTGTTCTTCAGAGCCAGAGTCTGCAGTATGACTCTGCTCAAAAACACGGATTCTTTGTTGCACAATGTTCTTTGGAGGGCTTTCCTTCTTCTTACGAATCCTCTCCAGAGTCTCCCGGGGTGACAGAGCAGACTTGGACTTTTCAGAGCTGGTATTTTTCCACAATTCGGAGTCATCTTTTGTCAGGTTCTTTTGGCGTTGTGAGGACAACATAGCCTCATCCCTAGACCAGGATGCCTCATCTCGACTCAGACTGTCCACTCTCATCGTATCGTATCCGCTGTCAGAGTATTTCCCAAGGGATAATTCGTCATTGAAATATGGTCTAGAGTGACTGTTCAGAGGCACCTGAGTCTCATAACAGTATTCAAAACTGGGCTGACTTGGTCTAATCATATCAGGAGGATAGTTCCCCTGTGATTGGGGGGGATACTGATTCACATTGACATAGTCTGGGGAACAGCGAAGATGTTTATGAAATTTCTCACCACCCCGGGGTCCCACATCCCCCCCACCCATCCCCCGTGAACCTGGGCCTGCCCCCCAGGCTCTTCTCATGTACCCATTCACATCTGCATCAAAACAGAGACCAGAACCCTGGCTATATTCTCCTTGCAAGACTCCAACAATATATACAGTACATACATGATACATTCCAAAAAGCATGACCATGCACAGTGAAGCGTGATATTGAGCCTATGGTGATCTTGTATCAATCTGAAGACTTGAGACAAACAACTTGCATAGGCATAAAGTTTGAACTTAAACATCCACAAGACACTTAGATCAAACCCATGAACATGAAGTGCAATATAAGAACATATGTCTTCCTGAAAATCAATTGGGGAAGGAAGAAAACCCAAATAAGAGGTCATGCAACCACCGAGGTACAAGAGCCACATGCAATAACCCAGAAGAAGCATGCAGAGAAGTTCCCATATAATATCTGGACTGGATTCTAATCTCTGCATGAAGCAGATGTGTTAGGTACATGAGAAACCCATAAGAAGGGTGGAGATCGGTTAAAAATTCCACAGGTGGGGCAGGCAGGACAGGTATGGACATGAAAAATGGCCTGAGCTCACTAACAATTCACTCATTAGTCAGAATATCAGTAAAGAGAACCTTCTGTTCAGCTGTCTGTGAACTGCCAGGCTCTCATTTGTATTACCAGCATGCAGTCGCCAGACAATGCCTACCTGTCACATAAAACTTTCCTTTAATATCAATAGCATGCACTGCAATACCTGAAATCCCTTCCACTGTCTCCTCGATTCAGGGGAGTGGTTAAGGGAGTCAGTCCCATTTCTGGTTATGGAAGTCAAAATTAGACTTCATACAGGTAAAAGTTATTCCAGCACAGATGTCTCATGCTCTGGATTGATGTAAGTCCCAAGCAGTTTTAGAAATCACCTCAAGAAACAAAATTCACATCTCAATGCAATCCCCTTGCAGAAACATTTCTGGAAGTTCTGATTCACATGTGAAGGCAATTAGTTAACTCCAAAACCACCACCACCACCAATTCCAGTCCACACAACATGCAAAGGTCTGCTTCAATACTAAAACCTTACCCTAAAACCTGTAAGATCCAAAATATATGAATACCACATCACCTTATGTCAATTTCCCAAAATATTCATATTGCAAATCTTACCTTCATCATCAGAAGAGTAGCTGTTGTACTGGGGTTCCCGAGAGGACCTGGGCTGTGGTCCAGCACTAGGGTGTCGATGCCTCCAGGCTGATTGTTCAGCTGGTGATCGCTGGGATCCTGCAGGTCGCCGTCCCTCATGATGGGCCAGTTCTTGGAGGACCTGCTTGCGATAACGTTCCATGTCTGAATGAGGCTTTGGTGAGTCTGGTTTTGGGGACGACTTTCTCGTCAGGGGAGACTGCAGCATTCGCTGCTTCCACTCCAGCAGCCTCTTCATTGACTCCTCTCTCTGTGAAAAAAAAAATAGAAAGAAAAATATAAAAATTTCAGTCAATTTGCTTCTCAGACACCATACATATGTAACAACTAGCAAAATCCAGTACATGCATGACTGAATATTGCTCATACCAAATAGTGTTCATACACTGCTCCCAGGTTTCTCAGAAATTTTAATTTACCATTAATGACTCATTTGAAACCCAAATCTTCTGCAGATGGTCCATATCTACAAATATAGAGTCAACCTTAGACCCTCCTAAGGGATTAATATTGGACCCAACATTTTGAGTAATATGCAAAAGTCCTTGCTCTCCTCTTATTAGATTTAGCTTACAAATGGAAAAAATAGTGACTTTGGATCCTGCTACATTCAATCAAACAATAGAGTACAATAGAGTTTTCTATGTTTACAGCAGTGCAAATTGGTCCATGGTCAGCTGTACATTGCCTTTATCACATCAATATCCAAGGATATTGTTAAAGAAATTCCATGACACTGAGAAACATGATACACCTTTTGAAATAATCCAACAAAATGCTCACTGTGTACAGAGAGATCTAGTGAAAAGGGATAACTCCTAGCCTTGACCAATAGACCAATCATTTGGGCATGGGCAAAGCCTTGGAGAAGTTCCCAGGAGCACTCAAGCATGATTTTTAATCAAGAGGTGAAAGTCAAAGGGCACCTTCAAAAATACACAGTGGGTACAAAGGTATTTGACTAGTATGGCATATTACATCATCTAGCAAACACTAACAGAGACAGATCATTATGCATGGTAGTGCTAGATACCTTTAAATCATTTGAAAGTCTTGCAATTTAGGAGAGAATTTCAATTGGACCAAGTTGAAAGTACAGTATTATGGATTTCTGCTGTCATTAATACTTGGCTTGCTTCACTGGGAAAACTCATAAGGTAGTTAGCAACATCACTTTAACACCTACTGAGAATGACACTAGCAAATCCAGATAGTCACATGAAATCAAGGCCCAAATGAGCACACAACCAAGACCAAAAACTAGCACAAAAAGAAGGGGGAGTCAAGCATGAGAACAATCGATGTCATATATCAGTGCATGATTCTGAATCATAATAATGGTGCTTAAAATCCAGTAGCCAAATATGTGAATTACAAAAAAAAGAAACTAAAAACTACAATGCTAAAATTATCTTCAACTGAACAATTTATAGAATTTTCTCCAACTCAAGTTTTGCCAATTTGACTATCACTTTGGTTCCTTGGTTTCAGGTTTCCACCAGCCTTCAGGTAACAAGGCATTTTCATATACTCCACTAAAAGAAACAAAATCACGTCAAATTAAGGAAGATTCCGTAAGTACTCTGAACTGTGGCTGGGCTGAACTCTAATACATTTCTTAAAACAGACCACCAAAATAATATGCACTCCCCTCTCATCACAATGGATCATTGTTTGACTCCCCTAAACATATACATAAAATGGAACATTTCAATCATTGTTTGGATCAGTACTATGGCCCATTTCATTTGCTACGGATGTTTAGGTGACACCAACTGAATTTTGCGAACAAGCTCCAAATTCAAAACAGGTTGCAATATACCTGCTGCATTTTTTTCCTGTCGATGTATCCCGACCCATCATCAGGGTAAGTTGAATTCATGTGACCATCAATAGGTATCTTGTAACGAGGAAGACGTGCACTAGCCGAGCGAATGAAGTTCTGCTGGTCTGGCATCATCTGCGGGGTTTGAGGCTGAGGCGAGTGATGATTCACCGGCGGTGACACGGGATACATGCCATTAGGAAGCTGTTTGAAAGACGAACGCTTGGCACTTCTCACTGGAGATGTCTGCACGGGTGGGACGTACGTCCCGGTCTGCATCCCGGGGGGGGTATATATGGCCGACTGCCCTCGCATCGCCTGGGCATAACTTTCCTCTGACCAGTACTCACTCGCATTGTACTGTTCCACTGAAGACTTGGGGCGGACGTATGGATCCGTGCGGTTCGCCCCGGCAGGCTTGGTCCTCATAACTGGATGCTCCAAGAAATCAGCACTGTGAGGGCGATGATACGGCTGCATCTGGTTGTAGTACGGCACTGGCTGGCCATTGCGATATGCATCTTCGTACTCTGGGCCAACGCGTGACCGGGCGTAGGCGTCTGGAGTCCGTCGTTCACCGTTATGATTCAAGTACTGCTGGTGTCTCGTGACCGGAGGCATGTAACCACCTTGGTCCTGCGGATGCTGACGATGGGGCATCTCGCCATAATCCCCCATCTCCTTGTCCGACGACGTCCGGTCCGGAGAGTACGAGTTGTCCCGGCTGGTGTTGAGACGTTTGGGCTTGGGAGGGGCATTGGCGTACAGCGGCTGACGGTTCTCTTTCCCGGATGCTCGAGGGTCCATGTCGTAGCTGACGTTGAGGCGCGGGTCTGATATCCTCGGCTGGTGCTGGACGTCCGCCCAATGCTTCCCGTCCATGCTTCGGGGTCTCCGCGCTCCGAAACCACCGTCCCCGTCTCCGGGCTTCTCCCTGAGGAAATGGCACACTGTCATGTGGCAGACAATAACAAAGAGGATGAGGCTAGTACGTCACAAGGATGTTCTCACGAATGATGATTTTGCGCATTTCTACGGCCGTTCTTTATGTCACCAAGAAAACCATAATGGGTGACTTGCAAATCCATCTTTACATTATCAGGACGTGCAAAAACATCACAAGAAAGAGCCTCACATCTCATGTCAGCATTGAAAAAACACACTGTCATGGCTCCAATTTTGTGCTCAAAGCCTTCTGAATAGGCGAAGGACATGAACGTGCTGTCACGAATGACATTAGCGCTTCTTCAAACATGTCAACCAGTACCTGTTATCCTTATGCATGATGCTGGCCAGACTGAGAGCATTCATCCATTGAAGCATGGAATCCTTATTTTCTGCTGCAAAGAAATACGTCCGCATGTTCTGATGCTCAATCTTGAATGCCCACTTGCGGAAGACTCGGTCATCACTTGAGCAGGGGCTGATCTTGTAGGATGGCAGCAGAATGGAGCCCAATTGCTTCTCCTCTTCTGAACCTTCAAAGCACAAAAACAGATTCACCTTTCAGCTTCATTACCCCTTATATGGCTCTGACTCGACAGGACTGTTCCTATCATACTGCATCGCAGACCCGACAAGCCTTCATTATATCCTCAGCATATATACTGACAAATAAAATCTCAGCGCTAAGTCAAGGCTTACATAGAACATGGAACTGAATTCAAGAGAAGTCCAGACAGTTGATAAAGTATCGAAGATCATAAAGCACCTCTAGACATGGAACACTGAGGAGAAAAACCGGTGAGAACAATGGCTATTAATAATTTATATGCAGCTGGTCAATGCTCTGTGGTCGGGATCACGACATGAATACACAACATGTTAGATGATTTAGAAATCATAAGATCTTCTGTCCTGTCTGTCAGCATCGCTAAGTAGTTATACACCCTAAGAAAAATATATTGAACCAGAAAAAAAAAACAATAAATATAATACACAATACCAAGAAAATAATGATAAGATCTGAAATACCGATATGTGAAAAGGACAAAAATGGATGGAATACCTTTGTAATAGTAGAGGCAGAACTCGGAGAGGACGAACCAGCGCTTCTTCCACAGCATGAGCCCATCGCTGCCCTGCTTGTAAAGCCAGCCCTTGAGGGTGACTGGGGCATCGGATGACCTCTTCACCTGCGGCGGTTTAATCCCTGATACCCCTCCTGGCTTCAACCGCTTCTACATTCATCACGATCAAAAAGCACGAAAAAATTATCAAATGACCTAGTTCGATAGTTTAGGCACCAAGGGGGGAGGGGGGTGTAAGCTCTGTATGGAATTGCTGGCTTTTAAACGAGTCCCATTTTATGGGTTTAGATTGCAAGTGTTATATATTTATTTTGATTACTTAATTCGATTACCATACATTCTCATTGAGTTATCGTTATCGTCCAATAAGGATGTTAAGTCTACGCCTTCGTGCAGAACGGCAATCTTCTTTAATCCCCCCGACTGGGTTGAATTACCCCTTGAAATATTCTCATTTATTTTGCCCTTCATTGCTCTTCATTTAACGGGGGAAAACGGGGCGAATTGAGTGATTCGTTGGATCCTCCGAAAGACCAATGACCCTTTGCCCTAAGCATCACTATCACAACATATCAGACGGAAAAGGGAAATACCTTTTTAAAGTCCATTTTCGTGGAACTGCTGCTCACGGAGTCACCATCGGGCTCGGAATTCACCTGCACAGCCCCGCTGCAACAAACAACCATCGAGCCATTGCAATCAAGGTCTTGCTATTTAGTAGGAACATCTGGATGACGACGTCGAAGGGAACCGGGAGACAAAAGGGAGCTGTCTCGTAAGGCTTCCAGTAATCCCCCTTGGGATCAGGTGATGCCATTCGAGAGCTCATTTCCTCCCCATTTGGGTGGTCGACGGTCGTGATGACGTCATGACAATTTCCCCTAAAAATCCCTCTTCTTCTGCAGGGGATTGCGTGGGAAGGACAAGGATGAGAAGGGAGAGCGAGAAGGGAATCAGAGGGAGAAGTAGGCGCCTTGGAGTCGGCAGGAAACCAGTGGAAATTCCATCGGACGACATGCCAGTTGAGTCCGGCGTGACCGTTCTGACCCTGACCCCTAGCATCATACAATTGTCCATACTACGATACTACAATAAAAACGGATGTGGAGCTATAAAAAAAAAAGAAGCCCTTCCCAAGAAGTGACGGTAGAAAGGCCTTGGAAACGACTTCCCAGAATTTTCGGGTAAGACGTGAGAATCGCGAAACGATGCGTGATGGGGTAGGGGAGGGATGGGAAGGGAAGGGAGGGAACTGCCTGCTGTGATCAAAGGAACGGCAATGGGCAATCCCCCGTCCGTCCTTGAACGTGACAAGTGACACGAGTCCGCCTTTTCTTTTACGAATTCTTTAGAAAGGCGGTAAATTTTCGGTAATGGACAGTAAGGTGAGTAATGGATGGCACTTCCTCTGCCCCCCCAGGTCGACGTTTCCTGTTGGAAATGTTCTGGGGTTCCACCTTTTTTCAGCGACGAACGAGGTCACAGCCCTATTATTATTATTTTTTTAAAGGGAATCTAAGGTGGGGCATGAGAAAAGGACAATCTGTTATCAGTACTCCTAATGATCCGGGTACGCCCAGAGAAAGACTCATCCCGGCACAGACAAACAAACCCTAAGTGGTCTCTTCTCTACTTGTGTCGTCTTTTCCTTTTAATAAGGTCGTACCCTCCCCCTCCCTAACATTAGATGCAATCAAATTACGCCGTCCTCACAGACTCCTTTTCAAAGACCAAATTTCAGACAAATCCAGAGCTGAAGGTGGCTCATTAACCGTTCCATTTTGAATCCACTCCCACACTTCCATCCAGCATCTTAAGGCTCTAATCAGTTCAATCCGACACGACGGAAGAAAAGATGAGGGCGTGGAAAGAACGCGATGACATCGGAATCCAGTTTGGCAAGTTCCTTTATCCTTCTACTAAAAGCAGATATTGTGAAGAAATGGGCGGTCAAAGGCCAAACAAACGAGAAGAACAAACATCTTCAGCCTGGGATTGATGAAGAAATCCTCTCTCCAGCCTCTCATCATCGATCATAGTTCAACCATGCTCCTCAAAAACAACGCCGATTTATGGCACAGCCTCGAGGGCTAAACCAGAAAGGACGCCGCCTTCGTGTGGATTTTTAGCAATGAGGAAAAAGATACTAGTTATCGTCAGAGTGAAGGGGAACGCGGAAATCCGGTGTCATCCACATTATGACACACATCTCCTATTGACGTCATGCAAACACATCCCGAATGCCTGGCAGAGCATAACACAAACACATACTACAAACACCGGCGTATCTCGCAAGACCGGTTTTTGGGGCAGGGCTTCCAAGTAGTGCCACTCACTTTTTTTTACGACGTGGCTAAGTACTACTCGCGAGTACTTGCTTGCACCACAAACTGTTGAAGACTGACGGACAGGATGTAATCGAGGGAGCCCGTTCTCCCCTTCGCTCACACGAAATGCAGCTAGCCTTGAAAAACACCACCAATCTCTTCGCTCTTCTTTTTCTGTGACGACAGCGTGCGAGTATGAAGTCATTAAGAGAACGTGAGTCTTGCTTGTTTTCAGGGAGAAATGCCCTCCCACGGACTTGATAGGAAGGAATAAAGGAACTGCCTCCAGCGACATCTATACGCGTTTATCGGCTAATACCCCTCCCCGAGAAAAAAAATTCTTTCGCGGCATCCTACTAGGCACACAATATTGAAATCCTCATATTGAATAGACAGCGTCCCAATATAGATCTCTTTGTGTGGGAATGGAGTTTCCTCCTCCCCCGTCGATATCACGTGAAAGAAGACGTGGCAAGCGAAGAGGAGGACTTTCTTTTTTATTCGTCTTCCCTCATCCGACCAGATTTGCAAGGGAAATCAGAGGATCCCTGGAGAGTGGCAGGGGGAACAAGCATTGATACTCCCTAGGCTTTTTAGCTCCAGCAATGTCATTCTGAATTCCCTCTTCGATCAAAGTGATATCACTTTGAAAAAAACCTCTCTAACCTAGGATGGGGAATTCTACATAGAAAATGATGACCTTTGTGGAGAAGAGCCCTCATCTCGAAGATGGATCCCCAGGGAGTTAGCCATTATTAGTCATGAGAAAATTTCCCCTCTTGATCAGCGCAGCGTGAAGTGAGCCACCAACTTTGCCTGGCAAGGGGTCTTGGAAAACGATGTAGAAAATAAAATGAAAAAAAGGATGAGTCGGCAGAGTGTGAAATGGAGTGAATGGACTCCAAGCCCACATCCCCTCTAGCCACGAAGACCTACTACACATGATAATTTTATTATTCGGTTATACTTGCCAAGTACTGCAGTACGGGAAGTTTCCCCGCCATTATTCACATCGCCGAAGGGAAGGCTCCGAGGACAATTTGCTAGCTATTCTCGGCGCACTTCGTTCACCTCTACTTACACCCTGATTCACAGGAAGACTTCCGTCTTCCGCTCTGATAGAGCATCTGATGGATTTTTCCCTCCCCCCCCCCTTCATATACGCTAATGAAGCCTGAAGATAAGAATGAAAGAAGAAGGAAGAGAAAACTGAAGCTGCATCGTACCTGAGAACCATGTTCCTATGCCTCGGCGATTGCGGGTAATTGTGAGGCGAAGCGGAGCGATAGTGGTTGAGAGTGGCTGCGGAGTACGGGTGATGCTGTGGGTGACCGGGTGATGCTGAGGGATATCCTCCCGCTCCCGGTGAAGGATACCCAATCCCAGACGGCGAGGGATATCCTCGACCTACGACCGCTCTGGCTCCGTGGTAGGTCCCAGCTCGCCCAGGCCCATTATACGCCTGCACCGCCTTCCCCTGCTGCTGCATCCATTGATGAGGATCCTCCCGCCCCACAGCCAAGTTCGGCCCCGACCTATAACACAACAGAGGGAAGACACTAGAGGTCACGGGAAAGAGGACGAGATACATAATCGCCATTCAAGCATGGAATAACGCAAGGAAGGTCCCGTTATTCCTGATCTCAGAGCAATTCCACTTTGCACATCAACCACTCGAATGACATCCCGAAGAGAGAAATTCCCTCCAGGCATAATGATATGGCTGTATTCAGGTACATCGCACGGAAAAGGGGGCAGTCTTCGTTCCAGCCCATTCCATGCAGAAAATCGAACCACCTACTCCTTCAGCTAACCTATGCATCGTCGAATAGCCCTACCGGTGTAATCAGCATTCGGAATAAACGACAGCAGCCTGCGCTTGCCTAATCCACACTAATGATGCACTCCCTCCCTAGTAATTAAGGGTGCTTGCCTTGCCATCGCATGTGCCATCACGTAGCCCCAGTTAGAGGACGGAAATGAGCATCGGCCCATCTTCCCTCGCAAGGCTGACCATATGCATCCCCGAGATTTTGGCCAGACCTCTCTCTCGCTATCGTCGCGTCGCCTCCAAGCCGATTCCATCGCGGATAAACAGGGATTCTCTAACGACGCGAAACCAGCCAAGAAGAAAGAGAGCGGAGGGGTATCTGGGACAAAGGAGGGGAGGGCATCCCCGTAATTTCCAGGGGCGGCGGGATAATTACCTGTAAACGGAGAGAGAGACTGAAAAAAAAACATACAAGTTCCCCTATTCTGTAAAATGGATTTCAGAGGGGAAAGGAGAGGAGCACTGTAATTCGTTCAGGGATGGTAGTTGTTATCTGATGATCTCATCCTCAATCGAGTGGATCATGGATGGTAGAAGGTGTGAATGGGGATCGGGACCATTCCCGATGGTGGACCTGATGAGAAGAGCACACTAACGACGTCGCAAGAAGACGATGGGAGACAAGATGAAGACAGGGGAGGGAAAGGGCAGACAAGGCGAAGCTGCAGGCTAGATCAATCGAACGAAGGCGGAGGAGGAAGATGGACAGACCAATAAAGAATCCCACCCTCTTAAGGGACAGTTGGTGGAAATTCAATTCGGAGTGGATTGAATCCATCGAGGGGGGGGAAAGAGAAGAAAGTCGTCGCAAACATGGTTTCTCTTCGATCAACAGGAGGGGAATTGGGCAGAATTTCACCACCTTGTCTATCCACATGAAAAACCCCACTTGATTCGAAAGATTGGCCTATATGGCACACCATCCTTCAAGTTCGCGGCTCTGGTATATTGATATTGCTCACCACGCGTGCGTGTTTGATTCACTTCGTCTTGAAACATGATAGTCTTCTCGTGAGTTTTCTACATGTGGGTTTTAACCGTAAAGACTTTTCCCGCGAGGTCATTCACGTCCACTTCTGGGTGGCGTGCGTAGGACACTCTCCTCTCATTCACACGACGTCCATCAATCTTTTTCACGGAACATCTCCCTCTCAGGTTCGGAGTCCGTAGCGAATCTTCAGGTCCTGTACGAATGCATCAATTTCACGAAACATTACGCGTCGAGGGCGAGAGTACGGCCTTGAACCGGGTGAAGATGGGAACGAGATGTATAATGATGGTTATACGCAGTAAAGACACTACGGAGTGTGATGACGGATGAAAGAACTTCGCTTAGGTCATGGCATGCCTTGCATTCCAACACAATTATACGGATCTCTGTCTCTCCATTCCATCCACGTTTCAATGAACACAAGAGTCTGACGGAATTTTGAAATTCGCGTCTTCAGAGCCGAGCGAAGGGGTCTACCCGGTCTACCTCTATCCCCCCGACCCCACTTCGTCCATACAGGGTGTCTTTTCCTTTTCTTACACGGGTGCGAGCAATGGTATCGAGCCGAAAGGGGGCGGACCAATGATTCTGAACAAAGGAAACAAAAAGGAAACCCCCCTCCCCTCGACAGAATAAAAGAGAGATAATGACAGCCGAGGTCAGAGGTCGAGGTCGGTCGACCACAAGAAAATGACCACAGCGTGAACTTTCTCGAAGACGAAGCAGGGTGTGAAGGAGGACGACTCGGCGATGCATACAGAAAAGCGATGCATACAAAAAATAATTGGACGGATAGATCAGTGGGTAATCCTCCAAACAGATGATCTTCACCCCATTCTTGATGGACGAGTTTTCATTATCGGGGGATTGGATTCCCTTTCACCTCAGACGCCCCCGTGGGGAAGACAGAAGCTAGCTATGATCGATCAATGCCGTTAGGGGTTAATGCCATCTCACGCCGGGTTTCGACCTCCTCTATCGAAACGAGACTGCTTCAGTCACTGGGTTCAAGAGATCGTGTGACCGGGGAAGGAAATGAAGGGACCGCGCCTAGGGAGACAGAGTATCACGCAAACAGGGGGTCTCGTCTTCCAATCATCCAGGTCATTTGCATCCAGACAGACACGGAATGAGGATCACGTGGCGACGAGTGACACCGCATGCCATTTTTTTGGTGTTTTCTTCACTTATTTTGTTATTCTTCCTGGAGTTGGACGACGCCTTTGGGCGTTTAGAAGTGGAAATACAAAGAAACAAGGCTGCATGCGGGATGCACATCTGCCGCCGAATGGTCGAAATCGAACTTCGAAAGTTCGATTTCTCCTACTCCTGTTCTTCGCTTCGTTAAATTCGATTTGAGAAGTTCGTCTGCTAATTATTAGAGACCGGGGTAATGATACTAACACTGGGAACTCGAGTTTGAGGAAATGAAATCCTTGGGTGAAAATTCCAAGGCAACGAGTCAAGCTCAACAAGTACTCTTGACTACTGCAAGGGCCTTGCTTCAAATTCGATTTTAAATAACCAGGAGACGGCTGACGAGAATTGAAGAGGCAGAACTGAACGAAAAGGACAATCGGATTTCGAATCGTGTCAAGTCAACTCAGGCAGATAAAGAAAGATCCTTATCACATCCGGATCTCGTTCTCATACGATACACAAGTAGGCTGGGGAAAGACGAAGAAAAAAAAAAGGGAGGGATCTAAAAAAAAAAAAGTCAGGCTCTCTCCTTTTGAGGCCTTTTAAAAGAGAATGGGGATGCAATGCAAGGCAGGGGGAACACAATGGATCTCCCCCATTGTGTGTCCCATTGTCCATCCGGGGTAGACCCCCACTCATGAAATTTCGATGCAAACATCACGAGACTCACTAGGATCCATGGAAAGATCGATAATTTATTTCCCGGGGATCCTTACGCATGACTTGAGGCAGTCAACATATCACGATAGGATCGTGATCCTTTCACGTCACCCAAACCGGCACGTATCAGACGACGTTTGACAGCAATACGAATTATTCATAATTCTGGGCAGCTTGGTCGATTCTGCAGACGGGAAGAAACGTTGCAGGAAGAAAAAATCGCGTGACTAGAGACTTCATACTCGTTCCTTCGTTAAAATTCCTCCACAATAAAAAAAAAGGTATTCTGACCTGAAAGGGGAAGATATAGGAATTCCTGAGAAAGATCTGCCCCCCGCTCCCTTTGTCAGCAGGAAGTATTTTCCGTGCCGGACATTCTGGTTGCTATGGGAACGGAGATATGATGCAGGCGATCACTTTTCATCGCCCCCTCTGCGATTTCCCCTGCATATGCGAGTATGATTATGACCATCCACAAAGCCATTTCCCTCCGCCTCCTGAGAACCGTTCCGGGAGGAGGAATCTCTGGAGAATCTGTTAAAATACCTCGAAGTTCCTCAACCGGAAAGCACAAAGCAGATAAAGGCAGGGGAACCCTGGTGACGCCGTGTCAAGAAGATTCGTTTCGGGGACCCCGTTAATGATTGGAATGTAAAGGAAACTTCACGAACCCTAAAGAAACAGACTGCCCATTAGTTTTCGCTCAGGAACCATAAACAAGTCGAAGGGGCTCCGGTAGTCATAAAACTCCAGAGATCAGAACCCTAGACCCCCCTTTGTTTCCTGGTGGTCGTCAAATCTGAAAAGACCGGAGACAGATCAGATGTCTCTTTTGCCCTCCGGAAATGCGACAGGTGGTGTGACACTCAAGGAAACCAATTAAGTAGGCAACCATTAAGATTGTGAGAGTGGAACTTCATAAAAGAGAGATAGATAGAGCCGAGGCTGGTTAGACTTGCAAATCATCCTGAGTAGCCTTATGGGGGAGATGAAAATGAAGCCAACAACATTCCACGAGAGGGCGGAGTGCACCTGATATGCGCGGCCACTTCCGATGCCATTCATCATCCTATATAACGAGAAATACATGCATAAAGCAAGGATGTGACCTGGATGAGGGAAAACCCTGACCTTACTCCTCTCCACACCGTCTTTTTTTTTCTTCCTAGCTTTCTTTCTTTTTGCGCACTGATCTCACAAAGAGAATTACGCACGGGCTCTTGAATCTCATAAGGCAACGCATCCATCATCCTGCCGCCCTCGGAAACAGAAGTCAGGTGCAGGATCGATTCGGACAGAAAAGAGCGGAATTCATGCTTCTAAAAAAACAAAATGCTTTCGCATTTGGCCACTTACCCCTCCGGTGGAAACGGGGAGCTGGACGGTCACAGACACACACAAAACGGGCGTCAACAAGAGACAGGAGTCGACATAACTGAACTGAGTGGTCTAATCCCTAGAAGAATGTTCGAGGACAAAGGAGCTGAAACCGTATTCTTTCTCCTTATATCCGTGTAGATGTGGCGTGAAGAGAAAAATAAGGGGAGGAGAAGAAGAGAGGGGAGAGAAAATGCACCTGATTCGGCAGGGGCTCACCGACCCAATGCAATGCAACGAGGCCGATGCTGATCCAGCCCGGGATCAGACGCACGAGAGCCGGGACGCTCTTGCGCCCTCCGGCCACTTCAACTGCCCCCATCCATTCTCACTGTCCATTGCGTACGCGTACGATGTGGACTGTCATGCACACGCAATGCCGTCCATCAGAAGCCACCTCCTGGGCGCAGGTCGATGTAGAGTCAAGGAGAAGAACCTCAAGGTCGTTTCTCACACGCTGTGCCGTAGGTGCTCTTAGTCATTCTGTATCACTCTCATCATGAGTTTGCATCACTCGATCCATGCCTGGATAGTATGTGCTTACTGTATTTCAATGAGATTCGGGAGATCTGGAACAGGCAACTACAGACAAGAAAATGCGTTTCTCGACTGCTACCCTAAAAACTGTGGGGAACCCAAAAGTGGCACTCGCCTCGAATCCATATACGTGAGGTGCGAATAAAACACAAGCGACAAAATCGAAGAAGAGAAGTGGAGGGATATGAGGCTCAGGAGCAACAGGAGGGGCTCAGGAGTGCAATAAAAAATAGGGATTCTCCCAGCGAAGAGAGAGAAGGAGAATCATTCCTCATGGGACTCTTTCATTCCATTTCATTCCTCCCTGTCTGCCTGTCTCTCCATGCAATCTATTTGATACACCGCAGCCTTGTCTCTGTCTCTCATTTTCACCTTGATATCGACATGCTCTCATAGCATCACCTCCATCTTCACGCGACGGAGTTTCTTGCATTCCGTCAGAGTCACGGTTACTGAATTTATCTTTCACGGGATCGTAAAACGCCCTCCTCAAGAATCACTCACTAGTCTTAATCATGAATAAGTAGTAAGTATGAAGAAAAGATCTACTCTTGAGATTATATGGATAATAAGATCCATGAAGGAAAAACTCTGGGAGTAGAGGCAAAAATGAAACGGAATGGATTAAATCTACCACCAGATTAGCTGATTTCAAAGCAAGTAATTTACATCTTGTAATAAATATCAGTGTATAAAATCAACCTTCTCTAACCAGCGTTTTTCTGTGAAATGCATCAGGAAAAAATTGTTATGTAAAAGTGCATGACTGCGTACGTACATGTCATCGTTAGGGAACCATTCAATTTTTCCTTTATAAATCAATTTTCTGCTTGATTGGCAATATTATTGGTAATGTTCTTTACCTTCGTTGTTTTCTTGAAGAAAAATTATTTTAAAACTTAGATTTTTTCAAATTTAAATATATTTTTATAAATGAATTTTATTTAAATTTGGAAAATAAACTTGAATTTAATTATCAATTGAGTCTAAATTTAGTCTTGCTTTCTAAAAGCAAGACAACAATAGAGTCAACAATAGAGAATTATTTTTTTTTTTTTTACCGAATGCCTGTATCTACATCCGAATTGGTACCAATTGAAGGGGGAGGGAGGTGGAAGCATTGATCGCAGTCGCCAGCAAAAGGACCCACTTAATTGCCTCCTCTGCGTGCTCGCGAGGAGACTCTAGAGAACGTACATGGATCGAGACATTCTGAGGACCAGAGTCCCCATGCGAACAGGTGGACGGCGAGCCCTGGGATCAGGGAATGCCAAGGCCATGGAATGTCTCCATGACGACCACTGATCGGGAGCAGGAAGACCTCGTCCTCTTCCCTGTCCTTCCCCTCCTCTATCGTCTCCGAAGCAGAAGGAATGACGGTAACCAGCAGACGAGGGTTGGATGAGCCCTCCCTGACGACGACGGATCACACGTGCCATGATTTCACAGCCACCGGTTCATTCATCGCACGCCTAGACGGCACAATATTACACGAGCCCCGAAATGGCAAAGACCGGTTCATGCACGCCCTAGCACCACAGAATCACACTTCTCGCAACAGATGCGATATCACACCGATCTGCTCAAATGGGGCTTGGCATCACAGTGACCATCTCGTCAGGCCTGGGCCCTCGGCTCATTCCGCCAACCCCAGACCAAAGTCTCACTTTCGACTGAGGTCCTCTCAGTGACTTCGAGAAAGGCCGTGGAAAAACTCGTTGGGAATGTTCCCATCCGAAAGAAAAAAAGAAAGGGATCACTGCGGGTGCAGAGGAGAGAAGGAATGGATAGAGAGTCATCAACCGAAGCGCAGATGTAGATGAACTGGACCGAATTGAACTTGTGCAGCACTTTTTGCCTTCTTCCCACACTGAATTATCTCCAGGTGACCCCGGCAATGATTATTATGCCAAGTCGCAAATGAATATCTTCCGGCAGCCTTTCAGGTTCCTTAGTTCCTTCTCATGGGGTCACGACCCACGTTGATTGAATTTAGACCGAACCGGAATATTCACGAGAGAATCCTGTTTCGGAACTTTCCCCACCAGATCGCTCGCACGCACGAAAAAGATGAGGACGTATCATCGTCCGAGCATGAGTGCTCATGTTTAGGAAGAAGCAAAAAAAAAAAAAAGGGGGGGGGGGGGGAGG